AGGCATCAAAACTATGAATGAACACATGTGGAGTTATGTACTTAACAAAAAAAAGGTGAAATAACTGAAAACATGTTTTATATTCTAGTTTCTTCAAAATAGCCACCCTTTGCTCTGATTACTGCTTTGCACACTCTTGGCATTCTCTCCATGAGCTTCAAGAGGTAGTCACCTGAAATGGTTTTCCAACAGTCTTGAAGGAGTTCCCAGAGGTGTTTAGCACTTGTTGGCCCCTTTGCCTTCACTCTGCGGTCCAGCTCACCCCAAACCATCTAAATTGGGTTCAGGTCCGGTGACTGTGGAGGCCAGGTCATCTGCCGCAGCACTCCATCACTCTCCTTCTTGGTCAAATAGCCCTTACACAGCCTGGAGGTGTGTTTGGGGTCATTGTCCTGTTGAAAAATAAATGACCGTCCAACTAAACGCAAACCGGATGGGATGGCATGTTGCTGCAGGATGCTGTGGTAGCCATGCTGGTTCAGTGTGCCTTCAATTTTGAATAAATCCCCAACAGTGTCACCAGCAAAACACCCCCACACCATCACACCTCCTCCTCCATGCTTCACAGTGGGAACCAGGCATGTGGAATCCATCCGTTCACCTTTTCTGCATCTCACAAAGACACGGCGGTTGGAACCAAAGATCTCAAATTTGGACTCATCAGACCAAAGCACAGATTTCCACTGGTCTAATGTCCATTCCTTGTGTTTCTTGGCCCAAACAAATCTCTTCTGCTTGTTGCCTCTCCTTAGCAGTGGTTTCCTAGCAGCTATTTGACCATGAAGGCCTGATTGGCGCAGTCTCCTCTTAACAGTTGTTCTAGAGATGGGTCTGCTGCTAGAACTCTGTGTGGCATTCATCTGGTCTCTGATCTGAGCTGCTGTTAACTTGCAATTTCTGAGGCTGGTGACTCGGATGAACTTATCCTCAGAAGCAGAGGTGACTCTTGGTCTTCCTTTCCTGGGTCGGTCCTCATGTGTGCCAGTTTGGTTGTAGCGCTTGATGGTTTTTGCGACTCCACTTGGGGACACATTTAAAGTTTTTGCAATTTTCCGGACTGACTGACCTTCATTTCTTAAAGTAATGATGGCCACTCGTTTTTCTTTAGATAGCTGATTGGTTCTTGCCATAATATGAATTTTAACAGTTGTCCAATAGGGCTGTCGGCTGTGTATTAACCTGACTTCTGCACAACACAACTGATGGTCCCAACCCCATTGATAAAGCAAGAAATTCCACTAATTAACCCTGATAAGGCACACCTGTGAAGTGGAAACCATTTCAGGTGACTACCTCTTGAAGCTCATGGAGAGAATGCCAAGAGTGTGCAAAGCAGTAATCAGAGCAAAGGGTGGCTATTTTGAAGAAACTAGAATATAAAACATGTTTTCAGTTATTTCACCTTTTTTTGTTAAGTACATAACTCCACATGTGTTCATTCATAGTTTTGATGCCTTCAGTGAGAATCTACAATGTAAATAGTCATGAAAATAAAGAAAACGCACTGAATGAGAAGGTGTGTCCAAACTTTTGGCCTGTACTGTATATATATATATAAATACATATATATATATATGTATGTATGTATGTATGTATGTATGTATGTATATATTGTACATTATTTTCACCACAAATTGGTGCAGATTGATTAACCACATTGCAGGAAATTAAGTGATGTCTGCTCAAAGAGGAGTGCCAGAACCCCTCTTGAGTATGTGTCTCCTCAAATGTTGAAAGAAACCTACACCTGTGTATCACATAATACATATATATGACTTATATTTGCCGGTCTGAGCCAAAATGCCTGGCCAACTTTTTGTCCCAGTACACCTCTGCACCAACCTGATGTCAAACTGGTGAAACAAGTTCAGGTCACTGTGAATGTCTTCTGTTGAAAACAGCTTGACAAATATTAGTATAAACCCCTTCTTGGTCAATATTTAGACAGTGTGAGGCAGTGCATTCCTCCAGCCTTTTGTTTCATGTTAAATTAGAGATGAGTGTGTAAACAACATCCACAGATGGTGTCACACTAGAATACTTGTACACTCTCCAACTGCTATCTCCTGTGAGAGTTTGTTTTTGTCAAATATGTAAACTTCATATCGAAATCTCTCAGATGTCACTGTGGCAACGCTTTCATCTAACGCATTCAAAGCCGAGCCCCCGCACATGCTCAGTAGTGTCAACAAATAACTGAATCCAGCTTGCACTGTGATTGAAGTGTTTATTGAACAACAAACACAAGAGGTGACACGGAAGCTGTTTTCAGAGCTCGAGACTCAGCTGCTGCTACTAATGTCTGAAACATGCTCCTCCTCCTCCCCCCACCCCCCCCCATCAATTCATAACATCTTTTTCCTCTTCAGTGACACACTTGAAGTCATACAGAGTCAATAAAGCTGAAAGAATAAGACCTCTTCAGCCTGAAGGAAATAGGTTGTGTGGTGATTACTTTCAGCATGCACTCAGGCTAGCAGAAGACAGATGACTCAAACTATTTCTGTACTCGTGTTGTAAGTTTAAAAGGTTAAAATGAGACTGCAATCAAAAACCAGAATCAAAAAATGAAATTAATAAATGATTAGTACTTGGACTCAGCTGAGGACTACTCATTTTTCTTCCTCTATCAGCAGGGGCAGTTAGGGCGGTGGGATAATTCTGCTCAGCTTTCAACAGATTACTGTCATTTTTCAATTATGCAAAGTCCTCCCACAGACGTTAGCTGAAGAGAGGAATAGCCATGCAGAAATTAAGTGGCGAAAAAAGGTTCACCCTTTCAATACCCCGCTGCTGTCATCTGAAGTGAGCTCTCAGAGCAGAGAAGCATATATGACGTGTTGTGCATGCAATTAGACTCAGCGTTAATGGAAAAGTTTTACAGCTTGAAATACTTGGAAAAGTAAGGTTTTAATGGAAATGTGTAGTCATGATGAGGGGTGCTATTTCAGAGCTATTTTGGTGCTTATCACGTTACCATAACTGAGCAATTTTCGTATGATTTCTGTTATGTCTGAAGATGTTCAGTATTGTGTTCCTGTGCCTTTAAGTTTTCACTGCACTGTGTACAGTGTGCCGTAAAGTGTGAGATGTCCTGAGTTCAGTAAAGGCGCATAGACGAAGCTAGACGGAGTGGTTTTTTGTCTCCATCCAAACACAATAATTTCTATAGAATATTTTTGACACACAGACTCAGTGGGAATTCCCATTGGAAGCAAGACGTAAGCTGCATGTTAATGCCCTGTCATCCAATCTACACTGACTCCATTTTACGTAAAACGGCAGCTCTTGGGGAGCTGACTGACAGTGCTAATCTGACGTTTCTATGGGAAGAAATCAACAATATTTGTATGTATTGATTTATTTATTTTATTTCCCCGCCCATTGTAGTGAGTAATGGGAATATATCCCTTTAACATTTGGCTCAACAGTTTAGGAGAGCACATTTTGAGTCACTATAGCTTAATGAAAAATGTGTTGAACTTAACTCAACCTGACTGAGCTATCGCGACCATTTGGTTTCGGTATGTTATGCTAGAAACTAGAATTCATTACTTTATTCTGTTAGACATTTGTGCGAAGTTTTGTCACAAAATTAGCATATGAATTCTTGAGTTATGGCCATAAACATTTTTTTCTGTGGTCACACTGACCTTGACCTTTGACAACATTATTCTAATCAATTTATTCTTCAGTCCAAGTGGATATCTGTGCCAAATTTGAGGAAATTCCCCTGAGGCCTTCTTAAAATATAATATTTACAAATTGAGCCTAGCGCAAGGTCAAAGTGGCCTTGGCCTTTGAGTTCCAAATTCTAATAAGTTCATCCTTGAGACTAAGTAGATGTTTGTGCCAAATTTGAAGAAATTCCTTCAAGATTTTCTTGAGATACTGTGCTCACGAGAATGCAATGGACATGGTCACAATGGCCTTTGACCACCAAATCCTAATCAGCTTATCCTTGACCCAATGTGGATGTTTGTGCCAACTTTGAAGAGGTTCTCTCGAGGTGCTATTGAGATATCATGTTCACAAAAATGAGACAGATGCAAGGTCACAGTGACCTTGACCTTACTGACTGATGAATTGGTTCATCCTTGGCTTGAAGTTCGTGCCATATTTGGAGAAATTCCTTCAGGGCATTCTTGAGATATTGCGTTCACAAGAATGACATAGACAAGGTCACAGTGACCTTGACATTTGACCTATGACTATCAAAACTAATAACTTCATCCTTGAGTGACTGTGGACATTTGTGCCAAATTTGACGATATTCCCGTGAGGCGTTATTAAGATATCATGTTCAAGAGAATGGGTAGGATGCACGTTTGACAACCCTATGCCATAATGCTTCTGACATTGGCTATCACAGGCACGAAGGCATAAAAAAAAACCCATAAAAAGTAAAAAAAAAATATTTCGACACAAGTAGAAGTGTAGTTTCAACATGAAGGAAAAATAGGGCAATAGCAACATTCAAAAATATGAGAGCAAAGTTTTATCTAAAATAAAACAAAAAACCTTAATTGTGGGAGCACACAATTAAGGGTCTTTGAAAAATGTTTTTGCCTTTTGGCTGAAGTGTGACAAGAGAAAAGACAAATGAAAATATGTTCACACATATTTAAAACTCCTTGCTGGCAAGCTGCCACAACAAAGGCAAATTAATTTTTGAAGTTCAAGGACTGTCTTGTTCCTGTTTCATTATGAATTCAAATAGTGGTGAATATTTTTTGTTCTGCTCTGAGGAGTTTCTGTATGTGTATCAACCAGTGGGGACTGAGTGGGGAAGTGTATGGTGTAGTGTTTCTCAAACTGTGAGCTGGCATCCAGATTTTGTGGACTTATTCCCGTGGGCTGCAATATCAGATGAACAGCAGTGTACTTTAATTTACAAGCAATTTATGTTTCAGCATAATGATAAATGAATTTACTTAAATCAAGGATGCAGACAGGATATGTTTAGGAAGCCTAAGAACTAAAGAAAAAACTGAACTCACCACTCCGTAAGCAATGGTGTTGCTGTAGGATCGGAGCTCAGGGTAGATGTTGGAGAGGAACCAGCTGAAAGGTCGACAATGGAGTCTGGACCGCAGGGCTTTTCGCTCAGAGATGTCCCCAATGTCTATTCCTGAATTCTAGAGAGAGAGAAAATGCAAGTTTTTGAGTTTTTATTACAGGTATTTGACCTTTAATCTAATCTCTAGCAACCCAATAAGTACAATAAGCTTCACTTCCCAATCTCTAATGTTCCAAGAAATCAAAAATAACAAGTCCAGAATTCTAGGCCTCAGGGTTCTGTCAGCACTGTTGCGTCCTAAGAATGACTCAAAGCTCGAAATAACAACTGAGCAGGAAGACAGCAAAGCATGTTTAAAGAGCAAACACAGAGAGAAAGGAGTGGATGTCATTCAGTGAAGAGAGGCTGAACCAAGGACATTTTAAAAAGTTTTTAGATTTTACTCAGGACCTCAGGTTTTGGGCGAGTGCTGACAAATCTAATCAGAAATGAATGAATGAATAAATAAACATTTGATTACCATCTCTCTGTATAAAAGACCACATTGTTGTTTTGCAAGGCACAAGTAAGTCTCAAGTCTTTGCACTCAAGTCCCAGGTCAAGACTGATAGGTCCCAAGTCCAAACTTTGGGTTTAGAGTCCTAAAGAAGTCATAGTATAGTTCTCACCAAATCTAATGACAATTCATCATTATCAAACAGCTAGAATTAGTGCCCCATGGTCATATGCCTGCACAAACCAGTCAAGCTGAAGTTACGGTTAACATCCACGCCTGTGAAAACTTGATGATGAGTCCTTCATTGATGAGTCCAAGTGGATGATTATGCCAAATTTGAAGAAATTCCCTCAAGGTGTTCTTGAGATATCACATTTACAAGATAATATTGCGTGATGAGTGATCTTGGACCACCATAATCCAATCAACTCATCATTAAGTCCAAGTGGAGCCAAATTGCAATTTGAGCCAAATTTAAAAAAAATCCCTAAAGGTGTTCTTGAGATATCACTTTCATGAGAATGAGACAGACAAGGTCACAATGATCTTGACCTTAGACCACTGAATTTTAAACAGTTTATCCTTGACCAAATGTGGACGTTTGTGCCAAATTTGAAGAAATACCCTCAAGGTGTTGAGGTTTACGTTGAGATATTGCATTCACGAGAATGAGACAGCTTCAAGTTCACAGTAACCTTTGACCACCAAAATCTAATAGGTTCATCATTGAGTCCAAGTGGATGCTTGAGCCAAATTTTAAAAAGAGAATCCCCTCAAGGTATTCTTGAGATATCATGTTCACAAGATGCACACAAGGTCACAATGACCTTGACCTTTGACTATCATAATCGAATCAATTCATCATTTAGTCCAAGTGGATGTTGGAGCCAAAATTGAAAAAAAAAAAAACCCACCCTAAACATGTTTTTAAGATACTGCATTCACGAGCTGCAAGGTCACAGTGACCCTTGGACCACCAAGATCTAATCAGTTCATCATTGAGTCCAAGTGGACATTTGAGCCATATTAAAAAAAAAAAAGAAAGAAAGAAAGAAAGAAAGAAGATGAGACAAACAAGGTCACAATGACCTTGACCTTTGACTACCAGAATGTAATCAGTTTATCTTGTAGTGCAAGTGGACGTTTGTGCCAAATTTGAAGAAAGACCCTCAAGGCGTTCTTGAGATATTGCGTTAATGAGAATCCAGCCATGGCTATTGCCACCGTGGAGGCATACATGTTTTTTTTTTTTGCATAAACAAGCTTGATGTAAGATGTTGTGTCACCATGTGTGATTTTCAACCAGCACATAGAGCACTTTTTATATATATTTTTAAGTCAAAAGGCTTGTTTGTGAATTTTGGTTTAGTACTCCATGTATCAGTCTAACTACCGTGTATACTGCATGTGGCTGTATGCACCGGACCGTGGCATACTGTGACAGTTGAGCACAAATACAACAACCGTTACAGCCCAAACACAATTACACCCACACACCCCTCCCACACACAGTTACCAATCAGTGTCAAACTCCCAACACACACATGTACTGTCTGTTTACCTGTAGTGGAACATTCCAGGCCATGTAGACGTGATTCTTGTACTGGTCCATCCAGACCTCAGCCACCCGCAGAGCATTACGACGCACGTGGGCTGTCAGATTCTCTGTGTAGGGTTTGTGGGCACGCTCGATGTGTGCAATCCTCGAACAGGGCAGGACCTCCACGCTGCCACCACACTGCCACACCTTTGTTACATACACACACAAACACACACATTAGTGACTGCAGGGACCCTAAATAAAGATATGGATATTTTCAGTACCTGCCAACTACATGCCAGTTAAACTTCTATCCTCTGAACAGGGGATTTAATCCTTGCTGGGACTGAGCCTGCTTGATAGAATAAGTGTGAATGAAAGGTCTCACAGCAACACACTGTGTATGCCCACCCGGATGAATGCTACTTTCTTTCTTTCATTCTTTCATTCTTTCTTTCTTTCTTTCTTTCCCCTGATTTGCAGTTTGTTGAAAATGGGAGCTGTCATGTATCCACACAGGCCTAGCTAGCTTCATGACAGGCTCAAGAAATATGAAATAATATTCAGATTTGGTTCCCCATGAATGCAACACAAGTGTGCAGTCCTCTAGGATGCTTTGACAGTTGTGTCTTTATTTTATTTTTTTGTATAGATTTTAGTTGGACAATGTTTAAGATATATAAACATGGGCATGTCATAGGTAAATGAGCTCCATGTGTGGCCAAGTGAAAGTGACCAGATGCCATTATTGTCTTAAAGTTATTTCCACTGAAACTTAAGGTGTTTTCATCTTTCCCTCTTCAGCTGACATCTCTGCATTCATTTCTAACTCTTCAGCTGACAGTTCCACTGCTTTCACTTCACTCACACTTCAAGTGACTCTTCCAGCCCAATTTATCCCCCTTTGGAGATTTCAACACTTTGCAGTGCTTCAACTGAGCCTTCAACCTACAGTTACAGTTGGTATCTTTTTTAGCAAAGATGACAAAATGTTGTTTTTTAAAATAATTGTCACTCTATCCTGAAAGCAGTATGAGACAGATAATCTGTGGAAAAAAATCATGCTCCTCTGCCCCCTAATAGTGCTCTAATACCATTTGCAAGAATTACGAAATCATCCAGCCAGAGCAGAGTCTCTAGTCATGTTAATCAAAGCTCATAAACTGCAGTCAGACTGTCAAACTAGGCAGCTCAAATGTGAATCAATATTTTGTTACTGCATTGTCTCTTTCTCACCTACAATGCTATTTTTTTTATTAATATATTTATGAAAGGGTGTAGCACATGGTCAAACAGCAGTATCAGTACAACAATGAATGTCAGTTTTTTCTTTTTCTCAAACACAATAATGATGATTACAATAATAATGTATATACAAAGTACCGTACATCCTAATGGACAAGAGTCGGACCAAGAACAGAAAAATGACCAAAACCAACAAAATGTGTTGTACGTTTGACAGATGCAATCATACCAATCATGTTAAACCACCAAAAAGGGAAACACAATTTAAAAGAGAATTACAACTAAAAAAAAAAATTAGAAAAAAAAAAATAAATAAATAAAAAGGAAGAAAGGAAAAAAAAGAGGATGGGGCCGGGTCCATCAGTTGGGAGACAGGGATTGAAGAGAGTTAAAAAATGTAAGAAAGGACTGCCACTTAAATGTGATCAGATTTACCTCTGATTGAGTGTTTAGTCTTCTCTAGCTTTAGAAAGGACATGATATCACTGAGCCACTGAGTGCTGGAGGGAGCTGTAGTAGACTTCCAGTGGAGAAGAAGATGGCATCTTGCCAGTAAAGAAGTAAAAGCTAGAACTACTAATTGTTGGGGGGTGTATCGGTTATAGTCCTTGGGAAACCCAAAAATGGCAATATGGGGAGAGACATTTATAGTTATTAAGAGAATTTTTGACATAGTATGGAAGTAGTCCTGCCAAAAACAGGACAATCATGGACAAGAAAAAACGTGGGATAAATAACAGGGTGAGGCACTGCATTTGTCACAATTGTCGGTGATATTAGAGTAGATATGAGACAATCAAGCTTTGGAGAAGTGGAGTGTGATTAGATGGAGTGATTTTATTAAGGGCAGCATCCCACAAGGAATCGTCCAAATTCAACCCAAGTTCACACTCCCAAGCGACCTTAACATCAGTAGCAGGTGTACTGTCGTAGGAGAGGAGAATGCCATAAATCTTTGAAAGTAGTGACTTTTGAAAGGGGTCAAAACAGTGAAACTCATCCAACAGTTGACTCAGGGGTAGAGAAGGAAAGGAAGGAAACAAGGATTTTATGCAATGTCTAATTTGAAAGTAGCAGAAGAGATGACAAGGTGGGAGGTGAAACTCACTTGAAAAGTCTGCAAAGCTAGAAAAAATACCATCCTTATACAGGTCTTTAAAAACTTTCAGGCCTTTAACATGTCATACAGAGAAGGTGGGGAATTTTTACCCGATTTTGACCAGCTGGATCTGGATGAGCCATTTGAATTTGATGACCACCCGTATTTATTTGAACACGGAGTACACAGACGCAGAACTCATTGAAACTGAAGAGCGGACGAGGAGAGAGAGGGAGCAGCAACAGGCAGAGGAACATGTCCGAATCCAGCTAAAGGTAAACACAGACGTTCATTTCTCCTTTCCGTTATGTTGTTGGATAATTATACTAACAATCCGAGCCTATCTGTGTGAATAAAATGCACTTTTAGTGGACGCATTTTGACGTTGTTTGATGCTGTCTGAGTGCCCTATTAGTTAATATAACGCGCGCTCACAGGCTGCAGGCAGGTCAGCCCTAGCTTGGTACTGGAGAAATGTCAAAAATTGAACATCCTATCATTCATTTAGACAAAAGTAGATCGGAAAATAGGGTCCAGGTTGAAAAAAACATTAGCTCCCCTTTAAATTCAAAATGTAGCATAGTGTGTTACCACCCAAAATAAACTGTTTATTGTTTTTTACTTTTTCATTCATCCACATCCCACCACCTCCGCCACTGCGTCAACAGAAAAAATTCCCCTAGGGTTTAGGTGTCTTGTCATGTCATTATGGGCGACATTATAGAGGTGCCAATAATCAGCAAATTGAGGTGATGCTGTACTATGTGTTAGTATGTTTTTATTCATATACCTACAATGTCTACAACGTACCCTGCTCTGCTTTTGTGTCTCAAGGCTGCTTGAAAGCAGTGGGGAACCGAAGTTGGACTCCGGTTTGCTTTTGCCTCATTCCAGTGATCACCACATCTGGATAATGTGGTCAAAGGTGCGTAAGCATGTTGGATGTTTTTCCATTCACATTCTCTACTACGGAGCAGCCACGCCAACCGCCCCCCTTCTTATGTTAAACTCTCTCCGGTGCTGTTGTAGCTGACCAGCACACCAGGAACCAGCAGGTGGGTCTTCTAGCTCGGTGTATTAATTTGCGCTCGTCATAGTGACAGGCTCACATGCAATCCGTTTGCTTATCTGATGTCAGCAATTGTTTATTGTGTTTGATATGATAGGCCCACAAATATTGATCCCTATGTCATAATTAATCAGACTGTGATTCTTTGTCTGCCTGCACATCCCTGTGTCCAAGGTTATTTGCTTATTAAAAAAACATCTAGGCTATTGTACTTTACATCACAATAGTGTTATTACAATGTGGTAACCCCTGCATGTGAATGCACAACGTATCCTCACAAAACGGTTCATATAATATCCTTCAAAAATGCACACACAATAGTTTGTATGATATCCTACGAATTACTGTAGCGTACCAAGTACAGTAATGCATTAACATAAAGTTACAATGATTAGGTTTAGGCAAGTAATGTTACTGTGGTTAGGTTTAGGATAATAAACATGGTGAGGACGTACCATAAAATTACTCAAAATTTCACACAGTTGTGAACATACATCCACCAGGGAAAGTCTGGATTTTTGTGACCCATCCACCACCCTAACCTGCCTCCTTACAAGACCACTTGAGAGTGCTTCCTTGTTCACCCCTGTCAGTGCACTGGTCACTTGATCAAAGCCTTTCAAAATATGTGGGCTATGTACCAGTTTAGGGTGTTTTAATTAACTGCTATTAGATAACATGGCACTCTTCTTACTACCTTTTATTAGTAACTTATTACTTTAAAATGAAGGTAAATAGTAAAATGTAATACATTATATTCTGAAAGTAACTTGGTCAAAACTAATCATTTCTGGCTCGAGGTGCAGTGTTCTCTCACACTTCTTGAACTACAATATGCTCAAAGTTTTTCTTCTTTTTCTTTAGAGTTTTTGCCCAATGATTTCAAAACTAAACTGTCTATCCCAGCTTGCAGTCAGCACTTACACTTGTAACACTTGAAATTCAGTCGTTTTCTACTCTTTCACAAAAACACAGCAACTTTCTTCAGCTCTTATATTTTACCTGCCATTTCAGAATCTTTCACCATCTGTGTTTCAACCACCACTTCAACATCTGATTGTGGAAACTACTTTAAATATTTCAACTGCAAATTTTCAGCAAGGAGCAGATGTCAATTTTCTCCAGAAAATATAGCCTTTTCTAGTAGCCACTAAATTCCATGATATCACTGCTCAAAATTCTGCATCGGGCACCTTAGGAGCTCAGTGTACCTACAAGACAAGTGCTGGAATGCTGAATGCTGATTTGAAAACAAACACCTGCTCTCTCTATTCCAGTCACTCACTTTGTTTGTGTGTTTGCACTATAATCCCTCCTAGCGGCCAGCCTCTTTCCCTGTATCCTCTCAAAGCAAAGAGCTACTGCAAAACAACAGAAAAACTGTACCACTGGCCCAGCGCCCAGGCAGGAGCACAAACTAGAGCCAAATTCTAAGATAATACACGCTTCCCTCAGAAATACCTCAACGTTCTCTATAAAGGATTTACAACACAGGGTTAGAGTATGAGGAGCTATTCTTTGAGCATAACAATCTATGTCTGAGCATGTGGGTGTGCACAGCGAGATAGAGAATGAGACGAGAAAAAGCGGACAGTGAGGAGAAAGAGAAAGAGGAGATTTCAGAGTGTGAAACATAAAACAGAGAAGGTGAAGGGATAAAGGCAAAGAGAGATAAAATGGAAAGTATGGAGAGAAGATAAAGAAAGTGAAAAAAGGGGAGAGAGAATAACAGCTTCTTATCATCTTGAGTCGTCCTCTCCAAAAGCCTTTACTTTTTAGGGCCCAAACACTGAA